GATCCTGATTTAGCGTTACCGTGAGCCATATATATAGCTATGCTAACAAATGAGTTACTGTACAGGAATTTTTGTTTCGACTTTGTTGTCTCAGCGAACTTTACCTTTCACGTTTTTGGCTAAATTTTCATTTTGCACTTGCGTTTACCGCACTTTCTTCATCTAAATAAGGCGATTTTAAATGAAGAAGGAGAATGATAAAACCCTTTTTAGGCTAATCATTCTCCTTTAGTAGAAACAGTTTTACAAGTTAGAAAATCCGACATGCTGTGACATAGCTTCGTTACAAGCCTAACAATGAGTACCAGTAAACTCGGCTACTAGCATAATTTTATTTGAAATAACAAATTTTGTCTTCTGTTAGCGGATGCTACCGAACGCAATGGTCCGAGCTAGAATAGGCACCACATGCCAGTACACTATTACAACAGTATAATTATGAGTTAAAAATTTGTCAAAGTGTATCGCCGTAAGGAAAGGACCTCTTCGTTTTTCTTGCCGTTCCTGAACACGCTATTGTTTCAATTTATACTTCCTGAGTACCACTCAATAATCCGCTTTATCTGCCATATAATCAAAATTAGTCCAATTCAAATCGATAGAGGAAAAAACAAAGTTAAGGAAGATTCGTTGCCCTTCTTCCTTTGAATGTGCAAGTATTTTAATTCGGTCGCTAATGTTTATGAATTGTTAAGTTTTCTTTTATTCATCGTAAAATTTCAGTTAATCGATGATTACAATGTGAAGCAAATTAATCCGGCATATCTGCGACGTGTGGTAGTTTCGGTTGGTCAGGAACCAACGTTATTTTCATTTACCATTCGTGAAAATATCGGTGAGCAACACGTACAGATTTTGACTTATTCGTTCTTAGCTTATTCCGAACAGCCAAGAAATCTACCAGTTGCAGATTGTTTCTCCGCTTTTTTTTTCAAGAAAATTTTTAAGGACTTCACGAGCTACTTGAAAACCAGTCTCTCTGCAGTTCGTTCATTCTTCTCGATGGTAGAGTGGTTTAGGCCGCCGCTAGGAAGGAATTTGGAAAGAGGAGTAGGGGGCATCACTGGTTTTCCCAGCAGATAGTTGCTGTTGGCATTTGATACCGTTCCTGCTACTTTTGAGCCACTCGGTTTCTATTACTGCGCGATTATGGAGAAGACTTCGTTTACAAATGAGAAATGTCATGGATAAAGTGGGTAAAAACATTGTGCAAAGACTAGCAACGTTTAAACCTCAAGCTTTCCCTCTCTAAATAGACAAGACTTTAAGCTTTATTCTTTTGAAACCCGCGAATTTTTTGTCTTTTTTTTTGAAAACGGACGAGTAACTGATGGAATTTTATTCAGGATATGGGTTGCCAGAAGACGAAGCGACAGAACAAAAAATCGTTGAAGCAGCTAAAATTGCTAACATACATGATTTCATTTTGTCGTTACCTCAAGTAAGACGTCAACCGTAATTCCTAAACAAAACCCAGGCCGGAACGCACCAGGCTCTCCGGCGCGTTTTTGCACTAAACTCGCAGATCGCTATTAGCAGGAATGATCCCTACGCTGTAGCCTAACACGAGCTAATATTCGCCGTGTTTTGATCCTTGCCGGCGTGCAGGAGGAAGGGCATCAGTTGGGATGAAGGTGGTGCGCATCTAGGTGCATGACTACCGGCTTTTGCCTAAAGTCCGGCCGTTTTTTCGATAAATGCTCGCTTTGTGAAAAAACGACAAATGCAAATTTTTTGAAGAAATGCAAATTTCCAGTTCACTAAAAAGTAAAAGTATTGCTCGAGCGATCGTTTGTCAAAAAATGTACGTTCATTTACATATACGATTGCGGTTAAGGTCCGAGCTGCAAACGAATTTTTTGAAATATGCAAAATTTCAGTTCATTGAAAAATTGAAAGTATTGCTCGAACGATCGTTTTTCAAAGAATCCATGTTCATTTGCATATACAATTGCGGCTCAGGTCCGAGTTGCTGACGATCTTTGGGTTCAGGAGTTGT